TTTCTCGCAGCAGAATTTTGTGGATGCAGCAAAAACGCTCTGACACATCCCAGTGGTGGAGAACACACTCCTGCAACAGCCAACACCGCTGAGACTCCGGCCTGATCCATCACTGACACCGACAAACCAAGGTCCCACCGCTGCACCAGATACCCCACCACCACTCCTCTCCCGTGTGTGTGTGTGTGTGTTGGTGTAACATAACGTGCAGCAGGTTGAACCAGCCCCGTGTGCTGTAGTGATGGATTGATCGATAGCCCACCCTGATTGGAGGACACCCAAGGAAATCAGACCTGACAGCTTGCGCCCCCACCCATCAGGTAACAGGAGCTTCAGTGAAAAACAAAAAAACTGCTGGATCAGCACAACATTGTACCGAGAGCGTAAAACAGAAGTCAGGTTAAACAGGGAAAAAATGTTTAAATAAATGATCGTCCTTAACACTGACGGAGAACACCTGCCCCTGACATTTGACCTCTGGATCACACTGAACAAAGTGGCCGCCACTGTGTGCCTTGGAGACCGGCTCTACCACTGGGCTCCGGTCCAACTGGATCTGTTTCCCCTCAGCTGCTGCCTGTAACAGCACCTGGCAGCAGCGTCATTAGGAGTCAGGGTTTAATCACTTATGGACGTCTGTATATTTATTTACAGTAGATTTGGCAGAAAAAATGCTGTTTTTTTTTATCTCTTCTGGACTTGTTTATTGACATCATTAATTTAAAATATGTAAGAGTATAAACAATGAATGTAAAATTATTTGAGCCTTAATTTAAACACAAATTATCAGTGTTTATAAAAACAGTCAGGGTTCTGTGATGTCACAGTTCAAACAGTTACAAAATAAAAATTACAAATCCTGGAAGCAGAGATTGAAATTTGACTGCCTTAAGGCAGTGGTGCCAACCCCTGGTTCGGGGACCGGTGCTGGTCATATGTCACCATATCACCTTGTCAAGATGGCGCTGATGCAGTATTGACCTCTTCTTAGAATCGGAATCGGGAATTAGGTGTTTGGACGATATTAGGATATCGGATATCATCACAAAGTTAACATCGGACGTCCCTAATAAAGTTAAAAAAGATTCTTTCCTCGTTTTGCATTTGTCCAATCCGATCATGGACGCGGTGGAGCAGCGGTGATTACCTCCGTGTCAGAGTGAACTGATCTTCTTCTGTTTGGACAAGACATGCAGATGGACACGTGTCCCGCATCGACAGGAGTTGATCACTGAGCATTTCACAGGTCCAATCATCTGAGGCTTAAAACCCTCTGTATACAGTGAGGGTTTTACTACTAAGATGAATGTGTTTCCCAGGTTAAAAAACTTCCACTGAAGTTAAAAAAAAAAAAACGATATTCCTTCTAGAAAGTCGAGCATGCACAGGGACCGGCACAAGAAAAACACGGCAGTAAAACTCAGAGTGGATCTCGTAAAGTTTTAATGTAAAAATTAATAACCAAAGCTCCACTCCAGGTACGGAGCCTTTTATATGACAACTTAGAGATATGTTGTATTTTCACGACCACAGCCCTCCAAATATTTGAAGACTGCTGGAAATGGATGACAAAAAAACTCCCTTTTGAACAGAGAGCCATGAAGGAGGCTGATGGGAAAATCAGCTGCTGTGTGTGTGTGTGTGTGTTCATGTGTATTACACACAGAAAATATGAAATATTTGCAAAAAGACAACGGTCAATGTTACACTCTCTGTGGTCGTTTGTGTCAGTCTACCAACTTAATGTTTTTACCAACGTAACCCATTAAAATGGAGGCTGATGTTACTAGTCTTTCTAAAATAACCCATTAAAATGGAGGCTGATGTTATAGTAATACTGTTAAAATTAAGAAGAAAATACTTTTGGTTAAAGACGCAACTAAGTCAAGTAACCATTCAAACCAGACGTCGAGCTAAGCTAAGCTTGAGGTACTTTGGTGAAACGAAAACTTGACCCAAACTGTGTAGTCAAAAAACCACAATGTTTGACAACTGAGCATAAGCGCAGCAATAAGTCCAGGTCATTTCACCAATGCATTAAAACATGTGATAAATTTAGCAAAATCAATTCATTAAAACGAAACATGTCATCAGTCCTCATCATGTGACGTGTTAGTTTTTATATCACCTACAGTTACACTTCCATCGTACTCTGTCCACCAACTGTACTGGTCGTAACGACACCGCTGCACCTACAGTACATTCATCACAGCCGTACTGTACGTGTGTTTGTATAAACAGCCGCAGCAGCCACATGATACGGAGGTTGTAAAAAACCATGGGGCTGCAACTGACTGGATCGATAGTCTAAGTCATAAGACAC